AGTGGAGTAATTGGATCATGTGACAGAGACACTTAGTGTTGGCCGATGATCCTGGTGTCCCTGGAACTGAAAGACAGGGGCAGCCTAGCGGTTGTCATTCATCTGTGTTGACAGAGAGCCTCATCTGAGAAAGACTTGCAGATACTGAGCCCCAGTGGAAGCTGTATCATGACTGTGAGTCCGACGGTGATGGAGCAAGGCCTGACCAGCTGGGTCATGGGTGGGCAAGCGCAGAAGCTCTCTGTCTTCAAGTAGAGGAGGTTGATATGAACTCAGGCACCCCAGGTCCTGAGCCCCCAGGGAGCTGCCTGAGGAAGTGGCCCAAACACCCCTGAGCCCAAATCGTGCTGCAATGTCTTTTCTCCAGAAACCTGCACCTCTGGCCTGGTGGGGAGATGCTTATGACCAGTGTCGCAGAGGAAAACCCTTGGGGCTGATTTGGAGAGGTTTGCAGATGATATGAAGACACCCCTAAGAGTTAGCCATCTTGGTCCTTTCAGCCCCATCGGGGACATCCCTGAAGGACAGCAGTGGTGGAGAATTCTCCTGGATTGATAAGTGACGATTGGAGCTGGGTGCCTGGTAATTTAGCCTGGACAAAGAGGCGGCTGGAGGGGGCCGTGTACTAATTTATGGGCTAAGACTTAGAGTTTGGCTGGACCGTCAGAGGCATGGCAGGAATTCATGGAAAAGATATGAGTAGAAACCCCACAAAAGGACCCGGAGATTCAGTTCTTTGTATCTCATGAAAATGCTTAGCAACGTGTGTACTGAAAAGAAGTGATGTTAATAATCAGGTGGACAGGAGGACCCAGACTGTGGACAGCAGTCTGCCTCCCTCTCCAACCATCGCTCGGTGGGCACCATGACCCGGCACCCCCGTGGGAAGGGGAGGATCAGCCACAGGCTAGACAGGATGGCTCCAGTGTCTACAGCTGACCTGTCCATGGTCACTTCTGTCACGGGCCTGCCAACAGCACAGACCAGCATGGCTCCCGTGGGACACCCTTCCCTCGGGAATCCACCAGGGACCTGGTGGTCTGTTGATGACATCAGACCTCTTCCAGCGTGGAGGGGGGAGCTGTGCTCTTACTGACAGATCTTTCCCGCAGACTGGGAGT